ATGTGTAAAGCAGAAGTTCTGGTTCCCCGTGCATCATTGCATAGCAAACCAAAAAACAATGCAAATCTCAGAGCTTTTGTCTGAAGCAGTCAGGGAGCATAAAGGTAATCTTGCACCCTGATTTCTTTGGTACCTCACTATGAGCAGGATCTGCTTTCCTCTGAACTTCCAAGCTGATTTATTTTTTTTATGACTCCTCAAAAAGGCTAAGATAGGACTGGTGCACAGATTACTTGTGCATTGGTGTTTACCATGCGGAACTCTTAAGCAAAGGGAAATTTCTATTAGTATATGCTTGAGAAATTCTAATGACTTGGAATGTCTTCTTGCAGGAAGTTCTTTAGTTTAAAAATGGAAGTTGTAAACTGAATGTCTTTCTGAGAGAAGCAGTTGAATAAGCTGTTGGTGGGGAAACACTTTATTAAATGAGTATGTTATGTGCTAAAAAAGGAGTAAGCCTCCATCTCTGGATTTTAACAGCAGATCTGGATTGATAAAATCATTTTATTCTGAAATTTTCCACTTTATGCTTTTGTATTAAGGTTGTTTAAACTCTGGAAATTATTAATCTGGATTATTTTAAACATTAGCTTAGTGATGAGCAATACTATGTGAATTGTTTGGAATACTCATACTTGAGCAGGTGCTCCAGCAAGGATTGCCTTCCTGTGAGTTCACGTGAACAGGCATTGGGGTTTCCAGGTGCTGTGGTGCGGGGCAGGAGTCACCTGTTCAATCACTCCCTTCCTAGTCAGTTTGCTTTCTATGACTGGCCTTGCTCCCCTCTGGACACCTCTAAGCATCCATCAGCTTTCTAGGAGAAGGGAGTCTTGCTCCCAACATGACCCTCTCCATCTTCTCTTTCCTGTCGTACTGTCATACCTGTGTGTCACTGTACCTGCTTCCTCTGCCATTTTACCTGACAGCGAGGAGCCTTGTAGGTAGCAGCAAGGCTACAGATCTGTATGGGGAGGGCAGAGCAAATGATACAGATACGTTCCATGCTGAGAGATTTGCTATTTCCTAGCCTTGTGGGCATTGGCAGATAATAAGATAAACCTGATATGCTGCACTTCCTTGTCCTTGTCCCTGTGTTTCAGGTACTGTGCTGCCTTGGAGGGAGTCCAGAGGAGGCCACAAAGATGAACAGAGGGCAGGAGCATCTCTCCTGTGGAGCCAGGCTGAGTTGGGATTGTTAAGCCTGGAGAAGAGAAGGCTCAGGGTGAGACCTTGTAGCGGTGTTCCAATACCAGAAAAAGGCCTAGAAAAAATGTGGAGAGGGACTTTTTACAAGGGCATGTAGTGACAGGACAAGGGGAATGGCTTTAACCCGACAGAGGGAAGACTGAGATTATATATACCAAAGAAGCTCTTCCCTGTGAGGGTGCTGAGGCGCTGGCACGGGGTGCCCAGAGAAGTTGTGGCTGCCCCATCCCTGGCAGTGTTCAAGGCCAGGTTGGACACGGGCTTGGAGCAACCTGATCTAGTGGAAGGTGTCCCTACCCATGGCAGAGGCTTGGAACTGGATAAGCTTTAAGGTCTCTTCCAACTTAAACCAGTCTGGGATTTTAAGATTCTTTTTCCTTGGCCTGAGAACAGTGTTCTCAAGTTCTCTTCTTATTTCCACCCTGCCCTCCCAATCTTGCTACATTCTTCACTTTTATCTTTCCTGTTCCTTTTTTTGCCTTACTCTATAGAGATGTCACCTCACAGTTTTCTGGTCTGGTGAGGCAGAAGCAGCAAGTAAGGGTGTGAATTGTAGCAGTGGCAGTAATTCAAGGATATTTGAGGCTGAAGATGCTGCAGGGCCTCCAAACTCCTGTCTCAGCTGTCAAAACCTTCCATAGAAGAGCAGTTGGGTTTGTGCAGCGTTGTGGGTTTATTTCACTGTAGCTGTCCAACAGTAAGTGCTCTCATGAGACACGAGAAGGAGCTATGGTTTCCTCACATGTGACGTCACATAGCTGTCACCCTGAGGGGCAGAATGATTTTGGGAAGCAGCATTCTGGTTTTGTTGTGTTTATTTCAGCAGCAATTGCAGAAGTAAAACCTAGAGTTTCTGCTTACTATTCTTTCTCTTGGGCGTCCCGGCTCACTAAGAACGTGAGTCACTGGTGTGCGTGATGTGGTTTGGTGGTTTGAGTTACCATTCAGCTGACGCATGCTGTCCACTCTTCTGTGCAGCATTGGTTAGTGGCTACTTGTTCTTTCTCCTGGCAAGTAAAAATGAAGCATGTTATAAATCTAACAATGGAAAACCATTTTCAGTTGCAGAAATCTCTGAACTTTGCCTCAGTGAGCTCTTACCTATGACTTGAGGCTTCAGTGCTTTGTACATGGAGCTGTATCTAGCTGGTGACCGGTCACCAGTGGTGTTCCTTGGGGTTCAATTTTAGGGCCAGCTCTGTTCATTATATTTATCAATGATCTGGATGCAGGAGATGAATGCACCATAAGCAAGGTTGCTGATGATACCAAATTGGCAGGTCCTATTGACTCTCTTGAGAGACAGGAGGCCTTGCAGAGGGATCTAGCTAGGCTGGAGCGCTGGGCAATGATTAATGGGATGCAGTTCAACAAGTGGAAATGCCGGATGCTGCAGCTGGGACAGCAGCACTGGGCACAAGTACAGACTGGGAGAGGGGTGGCTGGAAGCAGCCCCACAGGAAGGGCCTGGGGGTGCTGGTTGGCAGCAGCTCAGTAGGAGCCAGTGGGGTGCCCAGGCAGCCCACAGGGCAAACCCCATCCTGGTGCATCAAATACAGCACAGCCACAGGTCAAGAGAGCTGCTTGTGCCGCTGTTTTCAGTGTTGGTGCGGCCTCACCTCGAGTTCTGGATGTGATTCTGCACCCCACCATTTAAGAAGGATGTGAAGGTCCTAGAATGGATCCAGAGGAGGGCACCAAAACTGGTGACAGGGCTGGAAGGCAAGGCCTGTGAGGAGGGCTGAGTGCTTTGGGCTTGTCTGGTTTGGAGAGAACATGCTTTAATTTTTGGTCAGCTCAGAATAGGTCAGGTGTTTGGACTAGGTGATCATTGGAGGGTCCTTCCAACTGAAATAGTCTAGTCTATTAGTCTGTTCAAATTGAATGTATTTCCTGAATTTCATGAAGTGTGTCCTTGGTGTAAATCTGCAGCTGCTGGATGGCTTCGGGAGCTGCTGAAGATGGTGGTGGAGGGGGGGGTGTTCTGCTATGTGAATGCATTTTTCTGGAAGGCCAAGTCGTTGGTTTGTGAGTCACTTGTGGTCTGTGGATCTCCGATTGTCATCAGTAATAATGTGTTAACTCTGGGTTCATTACACTTACTATACGCATGCTTTCACTTAATCTGAAAAATTTAAAACACTTCTGGTTTCTTTTGGGTTTTAAGGTGTATTTGACCAATTTTTTGTGGTTTTGCCTTGGTCTTTGATGCTTTTTTGTTATTTCTGTTGCTGACTTACCTGACTTACAGGCCTGCTGTATATATTGCCGTGTTGGGGATTAATCATCAGCTAGAGAATCGGGATTCTTTCTGTCAGACCATCTTTGTGAATGATCTTTTACCCATTTTCTTGCAGTCAAGTCAATCTGTAGGACTGCCAGTTGCTGAAATGAGTTTTATTTCTTGTTGTGTTGTTGTTGGAGCGCTTACATTTATCCTGTGGTCACATAATTTAAGTCTGGAACGATGGTATTTGAATATGTGGTTTTCTTTTTCCTGTTCACCATTTTAGCATCTGTCTATTGAATATGTCTTTGTATGACAGAGCTCTCTGAAAAATGGGGTTTTTGCTTTGTCAGAGTTGCAAACTCCTATCTTGCTTGAGGTTTTGAGTTGCTTTCATGTATGTACCTTTCTCCTGAAAGCTTTAATTTTGAGAGAGCAACAGGACAGCGTGTAGCTGTCATAGTTGTGTCATTGCAACCACAAAATTGGTATCAGCACTGTGGTTTGCCCTTATTGCTTACTTTGCTTTTGCTGTAACTCTCCTACCTGAAAATGCAAAAAGGAGCCAAACTATGAAGTTACACCTGTACAGGCATCTTACCTCATCCACAAGAGCAAGCTGGGAAAACATTACAATGTAGGGAAGCTGGTGTAGTAAAACTTGGTGTGAGATCATACAGACAGGCAGGGTGGTGTTTATTTGCAAAAGCATGAGTTGATTTTCGTGAATTCACTCAATCTAATGCATAGACTACACTAGCATACAGTCTCCGTGACATACTCAGAAACACCAACAGGTATATGGCCAGAATGATGTGGCCAGGATCACATGTATGCAGCACAGACAGCAAGGGATGCTGTGGTGGCTTGATTGTGCTGCTGGGGTTCTTCATTGCACTACAGAGTAGTTTTTGGACAAGTCCATCATACTCTTGGGGACTCATCAGCTGGAATGGGATGGGCCTTTGTCATAGAAACTGGCTGGCTTTAGGCTCCGTATATCTTGGGCCAAGTTGTTTCCTGGCTTTGTTTTTTTAACTTATTTTTTGCTATTGTATTTTTTTTCCCCTTTTCTTAATGTGTGTTTGAAATGGATGCCAAGGATCTGTTCTGTTGGGCCAACAGGCAAAGGAATCGTGTCTGTGATCTGCTGCAGTCTTGTGACCATCCTCCTGGTGCCTCTTTTGCTGATGAGTCATCTACACTGTCCTCTTACCAGTGAGACCTTTTGGCCACAACATAAACAGCACATTTCTCAATTTCAGTGCTGGGAATAGTGTTCTGAAAACAATGGCCAGGGAAATGGTGTTCTTCGTTACCAGTGCAGGCTGCTCTTTTAACCCTTTGTTCTGTGTGTGTGTACACATGCTCCCTTACAGTCGTACTGCAGTCATGCCAGTCTTAATATTCCTTTTAACATTCTTGACAACTGCCATCTTAAAAATTAAGAATAGCAAGTAAATCCTAAAGGAATAATTAAAAAAAAAAAGGAAAAAAATGCACATTTTTGTGACAGACTTCAGACTGAATGTTAATGGCTGCAGTTTAAGAGGAAGAAGGTTATGTTTGTCAGGGGAAGAGCTGAAAACCTAACTTTCCCATGTTTCTAGGGCTCGCTTGCTCAGGTGAAGTTCTGGAAGTTTTTCTGGACTCTGCATGCAGTGAGATCCTTCTCTGCCTTCTTATTCCAGACTTCCCATCTGGTTTATTTATTCAGTAGAACCGCAAGTACTGGACGTGTTCTTCTCTCTGAAACTGTTTCTGGATGGGCAGTCTTACTGCCTCCCTTAATAAAAACACTCCTGTGCTCAAGTAATTTTCTTGCAAGCTGCAGCATTTTCAAGGCATTCCATCTATAAATTGCATATCGTAAAAAAAGCATTTGCTTTATATACAGCCAGTTGGTCATAGAGACCATTGTATGGAGTATTAATAATACAAATGTCAGGCATGAGGGTTTTTTGGTTGTCTTTTTTTCCTAATACCAGAATTTGTCAAGTCAATTGAACTTGCTTTTGTAACAGTATTTTAGTGCTGAAGTCAGCTGTGCAGTCTGCAAGGGGATAAGATGTTTTCTCTCTTCCTTTCCCTCTCCTTCTTTCTCCCTCTGTATTTACAGGTTATCCTAACATTTGTCTGCATGTTGATGAAGGAATCTGTAGAAATTTCTCCAGTATCTTACACACTGCAAGTCCATCAGATACCTTTGGATGGAAGAGACCCCTCTAGCTCCTTGAGTGAAGAAAGGCAGATGCAGTGTCAACTGGGACAATATCTACATCCCAGAGAGACCCACTGCTGCATGAGGTGCCATGCAGGTATGTAGAACAGGACAGTAATAGTGACCTTCACCTTAGAGCATTTCCCTGCATATTCAAACTGTCTCTGTCCTACAGTTACATCAGTGCTCTCTTTACTTGGCACGTGTCCCTACCCAGATAAACTATTATTCCTGATCTTTTCTTTTAGGCTCTGTCATTCACAGTGGTGAGAGGAAGCATACTCTGTCAGAGCTCTGATAAGTGATTTTATTGCAGGCACCTACAAGGCAAAAGACTGTGATCGGCCTGACCAGGCACCCGTCTGTCTTCCATGTGCTAATGGCACATTCACAGCTGTGGATAACACCATGTCTAAATGCTTCCAGTGCACACGTTGCCGTACAGGTGAGCTACCTATAGAACTGAGGAAAAAGGGTGGTAGTTGGCAAGTGGGGGCTTGAGGGGATGGCAAGGTGAGTAAGGAAGCTTGGAAAAATGAACAGTTGATTGGGCAGAAGGACAGTGTATGGGAAGGGATTGGGGACAGTAGGAATAAGGGTTACCAAATGTCTACAGCCTGAGATACAGTTTGCAGGCCTTTTTGGCCTTTCCTGGGAAGACTAGGGGATCCTGATGCCTCTAATCATAATAGTGCTCTCAGTTGAAGGTGAGGGAAGAGGTTGGAATAATCACTTCTCTTTTCTTTCCTCAGAATTCCAACAGATAGTAGAGACTCCCTGCACCCCAAAGCAAGATACTGTATGTGGCTGTCGGAAGAACCAGTACCAGATTGGCCTGGCCGATCTCTTCCAGTGTAGGAACTGCAGCTCATGTGTTAATGGGACTATTACTGATTGTGAGTATGGCATGGACGTGGTTCCAGTACAGTCATACTGTTCTAGGGTAGACATTAACAGCTCTCTGTTTGCTTTCTGATGTGCTTCTGTGCCTTGCCCTCAAGTGATAGTGGATCAACTCTTGGTTTTGCCTACCCCATTTCCACAGGAAGACTGCCATCTTTTGCCTGCCTTGGTATCAATTTCTGTTTTCTGTCACAGTTTCTATCTTACTTCTGTGAGCGGCTTCTTGATTTTGGCTGTATGAGGAGATACTCTTTACTCAATTCTGGTACCTCTGCCTTGCATGTACTGCATGTCTTTATGCTCTAGAGCAGATGTCATGAGATCAAGAAAGCTCAGGTAATGCTGAACTATACACCCAGTGGCATCAGGCATGACCTGGGAATGGTGCAGGTGTCTGGGAAAAGTACCCATGTTAGCTGTCTTAAGCTGCCTCATCTCTAGCTGGGAATCAGATCTTAACCAGATACTGCTTACTGTGCTCCACTTCAAGCTATAGTCTTGTTCTGTTCATGAGCCATACATTGTCTTCAAACTATCTCCCCTTCTTTGCAAATTCTGCTTCTCCTGACACCTTTCCTATCTCGTAGCCTGTGTAGTGTGAGGTTTGCTTTCCCACTGGTGCATGTGTTCCTTCTGGTGCTGGGTAATCTTTCTCTGTCAGTTTCCAGACTTATGCTTACCCTCAAGGGTCATCATCATATGCTGGCCTTGAGCAATTTCCTTTCCTCTTGGCTGGTGTAGAACTGTTTTGGTCCTGTCCCTCACTTGTCACAGAATGCATGGTGCTTGCTCTTTTCCCCTCCCGCAAGTTTACGTCCTTCCATCACTATTCTTGTCTGCTCTTCCCTACACTTGTTTTACTCAGTCTCCATACTGTGACTTGCTTAGAAGCAATACATCTTTGATTTCTTACCCCTTCCAGTCACAGCATAGCAGACCACAGGAGTGAACGTGTCCCATGGCTGGGAAGTGATTTCTCCTTGCCCTGAACTGACTTCCTCACCAGGCCCAGCTGCTACGGGACCACTTCTCCCTCATCTTTGCTTAACTAATGTGATTTCTTCCTGCCACGCTTGAACTTGAGTGACTTCTCCCGCTTTTGCACTGGAACTGTTGCTATCCTTCAGACCAGTTTCAGCTGCACTGTAATTTTAGTCCCTTTCCCTGCCTACCAGGACAGTGGTATCCTTATGTGTTATCATTTTTACCCCCTCCCAACCGTGTTCTCAAATGCAGACAAAGTTCTTTCTGTTCTTCAGACTCTGAGGTAAAATCCCCCACCCATCTTGGAGTGGATTTTTCTCCTTTTGTTTCCTTCTCTGTCCAGATCATGGCAATGTTTCCTTCTTTTCTCTACAGGTACAAAGAACAAAGATGCGGTTTGCAGGTGCAAGCCTGGATTCTTCCTGACACTTAGTAATGTTTGCAAGCCTTGCAACAGGTGAGCTTTTTTCTCTGTATGCCCATGTACTGAAGGGAGCATACCCTTCATAGGAGAGACAGCAGACAGGAGCCCGTGGTGTGATTTAAGCCCAGCTGGTAACTTAGCATTACACAGCTGCATGCTCACTTCTCCCCTTCTTCCCTTCCCCTTCCCCTGCTCCCAGAGGGATTGAGAGCAGAATGGAAAGAATGTAAATCCTATGGGTTGAGATAAGAACAGTCCAGTAACTGAGGTATAATACAAAACAACTACCACCAATAATAATAATAATAATAATAATAATGATGGAAATAACAAGGGGAGAGAATATGAAACTAAAAATGGAAGGGAAAAAAACATCAATAAACACAAGTGATGAACAACAGAATTGCTCACCACCTGCTGGCCGATACCCGGGTTGACCCAAGCAGCTATCTGGGCCTTCCGGGTGACTCCCCCAGTTTATGTACTGGGCATGACGTGCTGTGATATGGAATACCCCTTTGGGTAGTTTGGGTCAAGTGTCCTGTCTCTGCTTCCTCCCAGCTTCCCGTGCCCCTCCTCACTGGCAGAGCATGAGACTGAAAAGTCCTTGATCAGGGTAAGCAATACTGAGCAACAACTAAAACATTGGTGTGTTATCAGCATTGTTCTCAGGCTAAAGCCAAAACACAGCACTGCACCAGCTGCTGGGAAGGAGAAAAATAACTGTTACAGCTGAACCCAGGACAGCCCCACAGGAAGAAATTTTTCTCAAGGCTCTGTCCATCTGAACATAACTTTATAACATTCTGCCATTCTGGGTCAATTGAGTCTTCTCCTCTGTGATCCTCAGTCTTCTCTTAGTAGGTATTGCCCTAGTAAGAACCCAGAGCCACTAGCCACACTCCATTGCTCTGCTTTGTAGGCTCATCTTGACTTGTCTGTTACTTAGAATTGTTGCAAATGGCTGGTGTTTCATTTCATGCATGCTTACCTTTGATTTGCCCTTTCAGCTGCATTGATGAAGAATGCTTGCTGTGTCATAGCCCAGTGACTGCTTCACCGACTTCAACTGGGCTGAGTGAGTACTGGGGGAACTGAGAGGCAGTGGTATCTTTTCAGTGCAGGTTTTTGTTTTGCTAATGCCTTTTGTAAAGTAATCTTTTCTCCATTCTCTCAAACTGCTCTTTTTCTCCCTATTAATTACACATCTGCACTGCTGTTCTTCCTCTAGCACTTGCCTCCTTTTTTTCTCAGTCACTCACTAATTTGCTGTCTTCCTTTTGTCCAGATGGGAGCCTTGTCCTTGGCATCATTGTTGCAATATTTGGAGTTATTTTCATCCTCTACATTGTAAAAAAAGTAGTGAAGCTCATCCAGAAAAAGAGGATAACATCATCTTCCTACTCCTGTGGTGAGTACAGCATACGTGGTGATGTTATTTGGGATTGACATCGTTCTCTTCGTGTTTGTGTATGCACAAGTGCGAGGGAGGGCAAAAAGTGGGATCCCATTGCTCTGCTTTGCTGCAAGGGCAAAGGAATGCGAGAACTTGACAGCTAAGCTTGTTGGAGCAGTAGTTCTTGCAATTCTGCATCCATGCCCATAGCTGTGACTGGAAGTGCATGTGAGCTTATGGCTGGAAGATGTGTGTTTTGTTAGAAAACCTTTTTGTGGGCATGACTGTGAATAGGTGCTTTTTTTGGGGGGGATGAGAGGAAATTAAAATAATATTTGCTTTCTCTTTCCTTTAAAGTCCCTTTGCCGCAGACAACCAAGGAGCCAGTATCTGAGGTGAGCAAGATGACGGGTATAAGAGCTTTCCTTCTGCTCTCAATTATGTTATTCTGGGATCCAGAGTAAGAATTTTCCCCAGGGGGCTGTTTTCAAATGAGCTGAGTAATAGGGCTGTTAAATTCAGAAGTTTTCTTGAGGGCAGAGCCAGTAACATTTTACTTCCTCTCTTCTAGAGGATGCTTTTCAAACTCCTGCCTTCTTGCCTTTTTCTTTCTTTATGCATTTTTTTTCAGATAGCTGGTCCTTAATCCCGTTCTCTCCCTATACACTCCAAGATCGGGGGATTTAACTAATTTTACTTCACTTCAGATCTTGACCCTACAAACCAGTCAGTGTTGCATCACAGCGTTCTCTCAGGTCCATTGTTGTTCTGCAAGTAAGCAGTAGTTGAGGTGGGGTTTTCACAGCCTTACAGGCTGATGGGAACGGTTGCATGTGGAGCTCCTAAAATGGTGGTGATTTTGGATACCAGCTTTACTAGGTTTTGTAAAGAAGTAATTTCTTCTGGACTACAGTTTTGATGCCAGAAGGGAGTTAAACTCCTTGGGTTCTGCTGGAAGGAAATGTTTGGTGCCTTCTGCTCAAAAAAGGCATATAAGAAGAATTAAAACCTTAGCACCTGCTCCCCCCCTATCTTGGATAAATGTTAATCTATAAAACTAGTGGCTCCTTGCAGGAGACAGGTGTATTGTCCTGCTGCAGGTGATTCAGGACTAAGAAAATGTGTCTTTCAGGTTGAGGTAAAAAGAGGTGAAATTTCCATCCTTCTTCCTGAGTCCCGGAAAGAAACAGAATTGTTGGTGAATGCAACAGCACCACCTGCACCTCTGACACAAAGGCCACATGAGTTCCCAGACTGTGTCAGACCTGCTAGGAAGAGGCAGCTTCCAGACAGTAAGTGAAATTCCCTCATCCTTCCCTCTTCCCCCAGGCAAATGAGAACCTGATTATGCAGATGCAGCTAAGGAGGATGTTGGACAGACCTTACCCAGTGTATATGACCTGTGTCTATACATAATACATGGCACAAAGGCAATACAAAGCTGGAAGCACACCCAGAGCTTGTGGGGCTGTATATGCTAAATATCTATGCTAGGTCTTTCCGTTGTCTTTTTTCCCTACCAGGAAAATGGATTGTAATGTGTAGTGACATGATGTCAGTCTTAATAGTTCTGGGATGGTGACACAGAGCATTTTGGTTTTGCTGTAACGTATGGTAGCAAGGCCTAAACATATGTGCTCAGCTTTGCTCATAACTTTACACAAGAGCATGTGGAAGCATTCCCTTTGCTTTTTGGGGCATAAGAACAAATCTGTGTGACTCTGTAGAAGAAACGGGAGTGGGCAGTGCATGATCCCAAGGCACCATCCAGCCCTGGATTTATTCATATTCTCCTTGATGCTGCAGAATCCTGTTTTTCACACTATTTCTTCCCTTCTCCCAGGTCCTTCTATTCTCTACACAGTGGTGGATCATGTACCGCCATCTCGGTGGAAAGAATTTGTGAGGCGTCTGGGCCTGAGTGACCACGATCTAGAGCGAATTGAGATGGAGCATCGGTGTTTCCGAGATGCCCAGTATGAAATGCTCAGACAGTGGAAACTGCATATGAGCCATGCTGCAACTGTGGAGCACATCAGCTGTGTTCTCAACCAGATGGAGCTGAGTGGCTGCAGTGAAGCCATTCAGGAAGCTTTGCTAAACCAGAACTCTCAACCTTGCAGCTTCCACGTCCATCATTAGTCTATTTCTGCTTCAGCTGCCCTGGCTGAGGCTGTTAAAAGATGATCATAAGTCCCTCCCTTTCTTGTCTTCCTTTTCTCATACCTCCCTATCTTTCTAACACTCATCTGGATTTGCTGGGAAAAGCAGCACATTATGCTGGAGGAAGGCTGAGGTTTGCTTCTCAGCCACCATATATTCAATGCCTTTAAGCCAAGACAGACCAGAGTGACTTAGATCAGATGTTCTATGGACTAGTTGTTTCTGAAATAGGTGCTCCATGCAGCATATGTGGTAGGTGAACTTGTAGGGTGTCTTGGTTAAGCTGGCTGTTCAGATGGTGAAGTACTTACTCACTTTTTGCAGATCTGTGTTTCTGCAAGATAAGACAGTTGAACTGGCTCACATTGCAGCCCTTGGATTGCTAAATCTGACTCATCAGGAAGTGGGGAGAGGTTGTGCCTTTCTGAGAGTAGGAGAGGACTGCCCCCTTTCGGCATCAACTGGTTATCCCTGTGGCAAAAGGCATGGAGATTCAGACGTGGTGGCTGTGAGAAAGGAGAGGAAACCCCATTTTCCTCAGGTTTAAGTGGAACAAGGATTCTGAGGCAGTGAGTCAGATGAGAAGGTTGGTGGTTTTTTGGCAAGTTTTATTTTCCTATACCTAGAAACCGTGTAAGATAGCATTAACAAAACACCAGCTTGTGTGTTTGTCCAAGTGCAGAAAAGGAAGGAATGTGTGCATCTGTCTGGGTGAGAAGATACCTATGTACCTGGTAGCATGAGCACCTCTGCACATCTGTGCTTGCACACAGGTTGGTAGGCCTGTGTCTACCTGCTGGTCTTTCTCTGAATGGTTTGCTGGATCTGATCTAACTGCAAATGGGACTGTGTATGTGTACATATATATATATATATAGATAGATAGATATGTGCTTTTAGCAACTGTTGAATAATTTCACACTACTTCCTGGGCTGCACTCTGTGATTGCTGCCTGGGTGCAAGAGCCGTTTGGTACCATCTCCCTGCTCACAGCATCATTTTCTCAAAGGTATTACACTGGGTGAAGTGTAAACAGCAAAAATCAATTAGCTTGCATCAGGTGCAGGCTGATTTGTAATGTGGACTGGTTTTAGTCTCTCATCCCTTGGCTGGAGAGACACTTTGTACTGTAAATACACTAAGTGCTCTGAATTAAAATGCATATTTTTACCTTTGCCTCTGTTTTGGTTTCTCCATATGAACTTCTGTGATTGTGGGGGGGGGGGGCAGAGAGAGGGGAATAACTTCCAGAAGTTGCCAGAGTGGGTGGCTTGATGGTCTGATTTAAAAATCAAAACAAGAGAGGGTTTATGAACTCCTGTATATAAAGCTTATCTGCCCATAAATCACAGGATGCTGACTGAGGGCAGGAATTAGGACTGAACTTAAAGTGGGCTGCAGGTCTTCTCAGATATGCAAGAGTCAGAGGAGAAGGTGGCATATTTAAAGTGACTTTAAACAATACGCAATGAGTCATTTTGATTTGTGTTTGGCTTTTTAAAGAGGAAATATCTTAAAGTAGTAGGTTAAATGTTAAAGCTAATCTCACAGGACTCTGCCTGAGGAACCAAAGCACCATGTTAATGCAGTAAGGACTGTTCTGACTCCACTGATTGGGAAACTTGGAAGTCAGTGACAAAGCCAGGAACTGAGGTAAAGCTTTGTTTTGTTATGGTTACATCCTATTTTAGTTGAGGCTGATTCTTTTTCCTTCTAATTTTTTAATCAAAGGAGACAGTACAAAGCTCACTGTAATACACATTGTCTTTCATAATTAATGTTCACTAAGCACAACTGTATGATAATGTCCTGGGTTCAGCAGTAGCAGTCATTTTTCTCCTTCTTAGTAGCTGGTGCAGTGCTGTGGTTTTGACTTTCAGCCTGGGAACAGCGCTGATAGCACCGATGGTTTTAGCTGCTGCTCAGTAACGCCTACATTGACCAAGGACCTTCTGAGTCTCATGCTCTGCCAGGGAGGAGGGGAAGCCAGGAGGAAGCAGAGACAGGACACCTGACCCAAACTAGCCAAAGAGGTATTGCATACCACAGCACGTCATGCCCACTATATAAACTGGTGGTGGTTACCTGGAAGGGTTAGCTCACTGCTGGCGTTGTGCGGGGCATTGGTCAGTGGGTGGTGAGTGGTTGTATTCTCTTCCCTTGTTATTTCCCTTGTCATTATTATTGGTGGTAGCAGGAGTGGTTTGTGTTATACCTTAGTTACTGGACTGCTCTTATTGAACACCTTCCACTACAGCAGGGTGCTCCAGTGCCCTGTGTCCAACCTGGCCTTGAACACTGCCAGGGATGGGGCAGGCTCAGCTTCTCTCGGCCCCCTGTGTAAGCCCCTGAGCACCCTGACAGGGAAGACCTTCTGCCTAAGTGCTCATCTCAGTCTACCCTCTGGCAGGTTAAAGCCATTCCTCCAGGCTTAAAGATCTCTTCAAAGTTGTGGAGGTGATGTGCAGGTGATGGCTGTGAATATCCAAGAGTGGTCTGAGCCTGAACAGGACTTCCAGCTGCTTGCATCATTTTATTCTTTTATCTTTATTACTCATTGAGTATCTAACTCTGAGGCGTTGAATGTATATAGAACACTCAGGTGAAGTGTATTGGTCGCTTCTCTATCCGCCCTACACGGACTCACCGCTCCCCTTCAGCGCCCTGCGCTACGGTGGGAGCGGAACGGTGCCCGCCTCCCTCCACCCCCCGCCGCCTGCTGCTCCTTGGTACGCTCCAAGGCACCGCAGTGCGCGCCGGGAGCTGGGTCGGTCGGTCCGCCCGCTTGTGGCGGGGGAGGACGTTCTCCCGCCCCGCTGCGGCGCTGGTTCCCCTTCCCCGCCCCTCTCCCCGCCGCCATGGCCCTCAACAAGTCCATGCACGCTCGCAACCGGTACAAGGACAAGCCGCCCGACTTCGCCTACCTGGCGGGCAAGTACCCCGAGTTCCAGCAGCATGTGCAGACCACCCTCACCGGCAGGGTGAGGTACGGCCCGCGCGGTGGCGGGGGTAGGCCGGGCCGGGCCGGGCCTGGCTGTGTGTGGCGAGCAGGAGCGGGAGGGGGCTGTCTCCGATTTAAGCCCTGATTTGTACCTTTCAGCCTGAACTTCAAGGACCCCGAGGCGGTGAGAGCTCTAACGTGCACCCTCCTGAAGGAGGATTTTGGCCTTACGATTGACATCCCTGTGGAAAGGCTTATTCCGACCGTTCCCTTGAGGCTGAACTACATCCACTGGGTGGAGGATCTCATCGGTCACCAGGATGCTGGCGAGCGAGTCGTCAGACGAGGCATTGATATAGGTACTTGGTAAAACAGAACGTTTGGTGTGCTGTTTGCTGTCAGTAAAACTAGCTGGTGAGGCTTGTAGCACGTTTATATCTAAACGTGAGTTTTGAGAGACAGAAAAAGCTGAGATGTGCTTGCCATGGGGAAATGGGCAGCCTGACTGCATTGGTGTCTCATTTGGTTTCTTGGTGGGCAGGGTTTCTCTGCACAAACACAAGCACGGCCATATCAGGCAACTGTTCAGCTTTTTGTGGCCTTGAGCTTTCTTGAGCATAGCTTTGTGTGGTAGGTAAAAATGGTACTGCCACTAACACAGGCAACAATGTCACTTCAAAGGAATTAAAACAAAATGGCAATTCTTCTCAGTCTTCTAAGTAGTGAATTATGTTAGCCGTTACTAACTTTGCATTAGATTTCTACATGAGTTTGTGAGTTGCATAGCAATGTTTTCTAGCATTCCTTTTAATAGTGTTTTTCTGTTGTTCCAGTTGTATTTGACAGATGAATGATCTCTCTTTATAAACTGCATTTTATTTTTTTTTCTCCCAATGCAGCTATTTTTATGAGCTAAATTGGAAAAGGGGCTTAGTTGGAAACTAGGGCAAATGCTGGCAAAGCTGTGTTTTGGTTGTAGATGGTCAAAGATTTTCTGTTTATTGTTGAAAACAAAATATTTTTTAAACTGGACTGAGCATCTACAGGTGGATGATGTTGTCTCCAGTGCCATTTGTTCAGTTTCAATGTCTGGATTATTGAATCATAAAATCAAAGAGGTTGGAACAGTCCTTTAAGCTCAAGTCCAACCGTTCCCCAGCACTGCCAAGGCCGCCACTAACCCATGTCACCGAGGGCCTCATCTGCACGGTGTGTGAACACTTCCAGGGATGGTAACTGCAGCACTGCCCTGGGCAGCTTGTTCCAATGCCTGAGCACCCTTTGGGGAAGGAGTTGCGCCTGATACCCAGTCTGAACCTCCCCTGGTACAGCTTGAGGCCGTTTCCTCTTGTCCTGTCACTTGTTACTTGGGAGCAGAGACCAGGCACAGATCACCTATAGCCACCTCCTACTTGGTCATATCTGGACAATATGGATAAAGCAGCAGATTAATGTGAACAGTTACTCAGTAGAGATGTGCGTTTATAAGATGTACACTTAGGCACAGAATTTGGTTTTCATTAGAAAAAAAATGGCAAGCTCTGTAAGAGGTAGAAACTATATTCCACTTATAGATAATAAAACTGGCATTTGGAGTCCACATTTTGGGTGATTCTGCATGAATTATTTAAAAGGCATGTGTCATAGTATGTTTTGATTTAGTTCACACCTTTTTTTTTGTTGATAGATTCTTCCCTTAAGATTTCAAAGGTTTGTTTTTGAAGGTTATTTTCTGCTGAAATGAACTCATAATGAAATTGAGAGAAGCTGGAATTTCCTCTCTAACTTGTGTTTTAATAGTTGACATTAAAACTTGGAAGTTACTGACTCCCTCAAAGTTTGGTACTGTTTTCTTGGTGTTTGCTATTATGATTTATTTTTTTCTTTTTAGTAGAATTTTTGATCTCCTGAAACGTACTGATGTGTACTTTTAGCTGGATTTGTGATGCATACAAGCTTTGTATCATCACATGCTTTCCTTTCATAACTTTTAAACTTGTTAGCCAGCTTGTATGCATTTGGTAGTAGGTTTCGTTTTTGAAAACAATTTCTATGAACTTCATCATGGGTAGAAGAGACAGATCCTTTAAAT